TATGAATGTCTCCATTGGATTGTTATTGGAATGTCATTATTTTGTTTGAGTGCATTTTCGGTTTACACACTCTATATACGTGCTTTATTGTTTGTATATTAATTTATTTTTAAATATAAATTTTGAATCTCTAGGAGTGACGAAACTTTATAACATAATATGAATCGAAGTTTGATGAATGCACGTCGTATTAGTGAAGAGTACGAAAAGGGAGTTGATGAAATTTTGAAATTTGCTAGTGAAAATGGAAAAGGTATTGAATAATATATGGCTTTTTTCATTTAGAATCGTGTCTATAACTAATGTTCTAAGTGGAAAACCCAGAACAAAGACTTTGCAGTTCATTTATCCTAAGGTTAGAAACTTATTATAATAAGTGAATACCATAATTATTGTTTGTATTTAAATTTTGAAAATAACATTATATTTTATTTATCATTTCGAGTGTAATAAGCAAACAGACTCATTTGAATGTGGTTACTATGTTATGTATTGGATGAGAACCATAGTTTGTGCGGGTATAACTGATTCTTGGACGGAGGTAATTGCTTTCAGCATTAGTTAAGTTTATTTAACTTTATGTGTGTTGCATGTTTACAAGAGTCAAATTAATGTTTCAGGTATTTCAAGATCCATCTCCATTGCCAGAATATGATATCACACAAATTAGAGAATAATGGGCAAGGTTTTTCGTTCAACAATTCTAGTACATAATTTTTTAAGTTCTTGTTCATATTATATTGTGTGTATTATGTAGTTTAGGTAGCTTAGTTTGTATTAACTTTTAGTTTGTAATAGATTTTTTAGTTTGTATGTTTGTATTATATTGTTTTATTATGTAGTTTGAATTATATAATATTATATTTTTAATTTACTAGCTAAAGAAAATTGAACCTCTGGACTGTCTGGTTGTAATATATATTTGCAGGTTTTAGTTGTAAAACAGAATCAACTCAATTTAAAAAAAAATAATAGCAAATTTATGTCGCGTATTGGTATATGCAACGTAAAATTACGTCGCATATACCATATGCGATGTAAATTTGCTTTTTTTTTTTTAATTTTCAAAGTTTTTATGTCTATTTAGTGGTATATGCAACGCAAAATTACGTCGGGTCTTGATAACTGACGTAAATTTACGTCGGGCTAAAGGGTTCGACGTAAATTTACGTCTCCCGTTTTAACGTCAGTCTTAAATACGACGTAAAAAACCCTAAATACCTGACGTAAAAGCCCCTTTTTGCACTAGTGCATTTTCGATAATTTTAACTGTGAAAAACATCAACATTGTGTCTCATTTTCCGAATTTGACATTTCTCCCTGATTAAATTTGAGTTTTAAATCATTTTCGTGTATACTCGAGATTAGTATGTCTCCTGTTATATGTTCAAATTGAATCTCTGATTTTTTTAGGGATCTTAATCACATTATTGCATGAATGTCTCCACTGGATTGTTATTGGAATGTCATTATCTGTTTATTTGCTTGAGCATTTTCGATTTACACACTCCATTTACGTGTTAATCACTTTCTCCGTTATAGCTTCATCACGCGCTGCCACTTAAGACTCATCTGATGTCTCCTAACGCTAACGCTAACATAGGATCTTTTCCAAACAAAACAAAATAGGTTGTTTCTGCCAAAAAATTGTTTGATGTTTCGGAGGATGGGATGTTCTTGGACTGAGGTCACAAAGGAGAACCTTACATAACTCGAGAATCCCTGTCAATCAGATAGATCTTTCTTCAGAACATCTTATCTAAGCGTCTAGTGTCATGGTTTGATCAATCTATCAAATTCAAAGAACAAGGGAGAACCTTGTTTTCCCCTTTCTAATTGTGGGTGTATCAGGGACTTCCGGGGAATCAAGCTCATTAAAACCTTACCCTCGGTGGGACAATGACTTAAATTGTCCTCTAGCGGCTGAGCCGGAGCCTGCCTCCTCCACATCGGACCACCCGAAGGAGGTAGTGGATCAAGCTCTCTCGGAAGCGGAGGATAGGATTATGTATAATTTTTTTTTAAATATAAATTTTGAATCTATAGGAGTGGCGAAAATTTATAACATAAGTAGATATGAATCAAAGTTGGATGAATGCACGTCGTATTAGTGAAAAGTACGAAAAAGGAGTTAAGGAATTTTTGAAATTTGCTAGTGAAAATAGAAAACCTATGAAAGAGATATATTATTGTCCATGTGTTCGTTGTTTGAATCAAATTCGTCATAAATTTGAGGATATATGTGATCACTTGTTTGTTTATGGTATTATTAAGAGTTATACAATATGGACATGGCATGGAGAAATATTAGACATCTCAACTATGTCAACTACAAAAAATTTTGAAGAAGGGATGGATGATAATATAGAGGATATGATACGTGATATTGGTGAAGAAAATTTTATGAAAACACATCTATATGATTCTTTGAAATCTGATTTTGAGCAACAATTGTACATAGGATGTAGTTTTACAAGATTATCAACAACTTTAAATTGTTTAGTTTAAAAGCAAGAAATGGATGGACAGATAAAAGTTTCACCGAATTATTGGAGTTGTTGAAGGAGATGCTTCCCGAAGATAATACATTACCTATTTGTAACTATGAGACAAAGAATATATTATGTCCAATGAGTTTAGAGTACAAGAAGATACTTGCATGTCCTAATGATTATATATTGTACAGAAATGATTTTGCTACATTAAAGGTGTATCCGAAATGTGGTTTCTCGATGTTCAAAAACAAAGTTAAGGGAAATAGTGGTGAGGAAGAACTAGATGGTCCCATGCTAAGGTGTTATGATATTTGTCAATAATACATATGTTTAAAAGATTATTTGCCATAAGTAATTTTCATTTATGTTTCTAAGATTATAATAATTATATTCAACTTATAAGTCATTATTTTAGGTACATTGACAAATTGAGTATGGAACAAGAAAAATCTGAAGTATATGGATTTATTGAGCCTCAATCCACACAAAAATCTGGAAATACAAAGGTTGAAATCTAACAATATATGCAAATATGGATGAGTGACTCACAAAGACATATATATTTTGCTTCATACATTGAAGGGTTAATATTTTAATTTGTATTTTTGTCATCATGTTAATTTGTATTTTTATAACTAATTTTTATGTCATATAATGTAGGTTCCATTGGTAGTTAATTGTAATCATATCCCGAGATTACACTCGTGGTGTGATTTTGTTCATTGCACCTGGAAACCGAGTCAAAAAAAAAAACTTATTAGAAAGATAACTTTATCTTTTATTCATTAATTATGTTTTTAAAGTGTACATGTATATTAATTAATATATGACTTATGAATGAATAATTTATAATTTTAATAATTTTATATAATATATTTATTTTTATATTAATTTTTTTATATATTGAACCACGTTTAAAATTCATTTCCTACTCCTAATAGTTTCCCGTATATCTCCGTCCTTCCGCTTCCCTTGCTGATGCGCACATGTAATTCATTCAACAACCTTATTTAATATAATAATAAATAATAATATTACATTCTACCGACAACTAAAGTATAATATAATAATAGGTAGCAACTAAAATATAATATAATAATAAATAATAATATTATATTACAATGTATAGTTAATATTTTGTTATATTTTTTTTAAATAAAAAACAATAATAATAATAAAATTAATAAGAACAATATAATAATATATTTATCAATATTTTATTATTTATAAATAATAATAAATTTTTATACATAATTTTAAATAATAAAAATAAAAATATTAACAAAAAAGTTAACAAATTTATAAAAAAAAGATCGAACAACTACATATTATAATAACTAATTCACTCAACTACCAAACTCTGTATAATAATAGTACATAATAACATGATATCTCGTACATTAAATCAACAACCAAAATATAGTATAATAATAAATAATAATATTATATTAATATGATTGCTATTTAATTATAAAATAAAAATATTTTTTAAAAGAAAAATAATAATAATATAAAAAATAAAAAAATAATTAGTAAGTAAAATAATAAGTTATTTGTCAAGTTTTTTATTATATTTATTATTTATAAAAAATAATAAATTATTATATATAATTTTAAATAAAAAATAAAGGTATTAACAAAAAAAATAACAAGTTTATAAAAGAAAAATTATCAGAATCTATAGTTTCTCGATGTATGTCAATCCCTTTTTTGAATAAATGATGTTTCAAATCAAAGTATATTCTTAAATTTATTTTGAATAATAATCTAATCTATATCTAAATAAAATATAATTTTTAAATAAAATAAATATTTAAAAACATTTTTAATTATATTAAACTGAGATAATCATTTTAAAAATTATAAATAATTTATTTAATTAATTTATATAATATTAATTTTTATATAACTATGATAGAAATTAATGTTTTTAATAAATAATTTACTTTTATATTTAATGAACTATTACATGATGTACACATTCAGTATTTCTTATATTATAAAAAATAAAAATTATCAGTAAATAAATTCTATAATAATTAACATTAATTACTAATGTAACTAAATAATATTAGAATTTTTTTAATAACTAGATTTATCACAAAAATAATATTATTTAATTAAATAAATAAATTATTCATAATTTTTGAAATGTTTATTTAGGTTTAAGAAAAATAAAATATGTTCAATGATTTATTTATTTAAAATATGTATTTTATTTTTATTTAGGTTAAATTATATTATAATTTAAAATAATTTTTTGAATATATTTTAGAATATTTTTTTTTAATTTATGAGTAAATTCTATTATGGATTTTTTTATTGAACAGTGATAGTTGATAATTGCAACATCAAATGTAGAAAAAAATAATAATAAATAATATTATTATATTAAAAACCCGTTATGGTTTGAATGTATAAGACACCTCTGGTGAACCAGTTCCCTCATACTCATTAGTCCACTTCTATAACCTTTCACCCAGCACTAGCCTAAGGCAAACCAACATGTCAGTAACCTTGGAAGCCTCTTACTTGGTGAAGCCTATGGAGCCAACACAGAGAGGACGTGTACCCTTATCTGAATGGGATCAAACAGGAACCATAAATCACGTTTCCATAATATACTTTTATGGTCCCTCCAAACACTTTGATCTCTCCCCAAACTATACCAATATTGCTTCCACCTTGAAGGACTCATTAAGCCGAGTCCTGGTACCGTTTTATCCTCTAGCTGGTCGTTTGCACTGGATAAAAAATGGTCGTTTAGAGCTTGATTGCAATGCCATGGGTGCTCAGTTCGTTGAAGCTCAGTCCTCGTTAAGATTGGAAGATCTAGGTGACTCTTCATCCTCTTCGGGGTACCACTCCCTTGTTCCAAGTGTAGACTACACTCTCCCATTTCACGAGTTGCCCTTGGTTCTGGTTCAGTTAACCAAGTTCAAGTGTGGTGGCATTAGCATTAGCATAGCAATTTCTCATGCACTTGCTGATGGAACAAGTGCATTGCACTTCACTTCTGAATGGGCGAGGCTTTCACGCGGCGAGCCTCTGCAAACGGTACCGTTTATTGACAAGAAAGTGTTCCGAGCTGGGGAGCCTCCTTTGGCACCGCTAACAAAGTGTCGTGTTTACTCGGAGTTCGATGACCTTCCGTTGTTGCTGGACCAAACAAAGAGGACAGAGGAAAGGAAGAAGAAAACCAAAGTGGCTATTCTCAAACTAAGCAAAGTCCAAGTTGAGACGCTGAGAAAGACAGCAAATGAGAGTCATAGACCTAGGAACGGTCGTGGTTACACTCGTTACGAGAGTGTAACTGGCCACGTTTGGAGAAGTGCATGCAAGGCAAGAGGGCACAAAGAGGACCAACCAACTGCGCTTTGTGTTTGTGTTGACTCGAGGGATCGCCTGGAACCTCCTTTGCCAAAAGAGTATTTTGGAAATACCGTCATCGATGTGGTTGCTTCAAGTCTGGTGGGTGATTTGGTGTCAAAGCCGTTGGGGTATGCGTCGAGTAGAATAAGAGAGGCGATTGAGAGGGTGAATGATGAGTACGTGAGATCGGGGATTGAGTTCTTGAAGAATCAAGAGGATTTGAGTAGGTTTCAGGATCTTCATGGGATAGGGAGTGAGATCAAGGAGCCTTTATATGGGGATCCTAATCTTAGTGTTGTTAGTTGGTTGACGTTGCCGATCTATGGGATTGATTTTGGGTGGGGGAAGGAGCTTCATATGAATCCAGGGCCATATGATTTTGATGGAGATTGTGTGCTTCTTCCTGGTCCTGATGGGGATGGATCTTTGTTGCTTGCTTTATGTCTACAGGAAGTGCATATGGATGCGTTTAACAAGCATTTTTATGAGGACATTGAGTAAGTATCATGGGGAAAGGTACTTGCAGCAAAGCAGAATTGTGGAACAACTGCTCAACTTATTTGAGATTTGTTATATGCATGCAAACCTTATGTTAATTTCTTAACCAGTATCTAAGTTTTATCCATTACAATAGTAAGATAAATTTCTATAGGGATCACAATTAAAATCAAGGACCAATTTTTTATTCTTTAGAATTAGATAAGAAAAAATCTAGTTGACTGAAGCAAATGCAATTTCGACTACACATGGGTACTAACTCTAAGTCGAACACACGTACACATTGATAATAGCTATACATCACTATTTTCAAAATCAATCACTATTTTCAAAATCAAACCGAACTTGTTACTTCAATCGGTTCTCAGTATATTGATTCAAAATAATTAAATTTTAATTAAATTAGAAAATCGTATGGATATTTGTGAATTCGATTTTGATAAAAAAAAATATTTTTTTAATATAATTTTTGTATAAAACATATAATATATTTTAATTTTTTTTACGTCTTAAGCCAATTTTAAATAATAATTATTTTATTATATTTTTATATTTTTTAATTATTATTCATTTTTCATTCACTAATATATTTTATATTTATAATATTTATTTTAATTTACATGATACTAACTTTTATTTTTATTTTTTTTGTATAAAAATGTTGTTACTCATAAAAATATTATTATTTTATTATTTCACCGATTCATTGACAGTTCCGATTTTTGAAAACATTGTTCTACATGGAGCACACGTTGATAAAAACTCTACATGGAACACACATGAGTAATAATTATACATCAAGTCTACTCTGTTTATTATTCTAAATCAAACTTATCTCAATCTTAATGATACTTATAAATTATTCTCAATAGTTATAAAGAAAAATTTGTAGTCATTAAATTGACTTAATTATACCTACAAATAGAAATAAAAACAATTTACTTACACAAATCAAAGAATAACATGAATTTATTCATAATTAATCCATTTGTTTCACTAAAGTTAGACTTTGAGTTAAGGGTTTACATACCTCCTTGATTTTTCCCATTTATTACATTTAACAAAAATATTCTTCTAATAAATTCATTTAAATGCATATTATGATAATAATGTATAATTAATATATATATATATATATATATATATATATATATATATAATTATTTGGTTATACACAATATTGCATTTAAAGGGTAATTATTAACAAGTATAATGTACTACCTAAATTACCCTTATAAGAGACCTATAAATAGAATCACTCTACTCTTTGTATCTTATTCTCAATTAGATAATTATCTATTATCTCTATTATCATTCTCTTGTACTAACTTAAGTATCACAGCCTTCGTAAGTGAATGATTTTCAATATTGTTTATGAAATCAAAGATTTTGAGTTTAACACATTAAAATATATTCCATTCATAATATTTTTTTCATAAAAGTTAGATTTGACAATTTTTATATTGAAATTTGAAAATGCAATTGAAACATAATTTCAAACACAAAATTTCAAGAATGAAAGATCAACATATGAATTCTCAATCAAACTAAATTGATTATGTTAATTAAAACTCAATATTATTCAATCTAGTCAGTATCTAACTATAAAATTAAGATTTAATCTATTCCTAAATTTTATTTTTAAAAACAAAACTACAGATGAATATCACAAGATGCAAAATCAATATTAGAGAAGAGAAGAACAAACTCAAAACAAGAAATATTTGAATTCAGTTCTTCTTGGATGAAGAACTCTAAAACAATTGAGACAATAAAAGAGGAAGAGTCATAAAAATAAAAAAAGAAAGAGAAAGAAGAGGTAGAGACACTTCTTCAATTGAAAAACTAAACAAATGAATTATACATATTAGTTTAAAATATATTTAGTCTAGAGGCTCTTAAATTTGAAGTAAACATGAATCTAAATATAGATGTTAATTAGGTCCATAAGTTAAATTATAAAGTTAATAGAAAGAAAAATTAAATCTGCATGCATTATTTATAAAATTTCAACAAATCTGTATCAATTTCTAAAAATCTATTATCACTCTTTTAAACATGTTATTATTAAATTAATTTACAAATGTTGCAAATCTATCCAATTAGTCACTTAATTATTTAAAATACAATCACATGATTTTTTATAGACTAAAATGGTAAAAGAAATTTGGTATATTGGCAACATGACTAAGATTTTGGAATTACTTATTATAATATTCCAAGAAAAAAGTAGTAGCGAAAAAATATGTTTTAAGAAGTATACTTTAAATTAATTCCTAAAATTACAAGTATAAACTGATTTAGGTTTTTAAATTAATAAATCTCAACCATTTTATCTATAGTCTTTGTAATTTAAGAAGTAAAATAATCATTATTTTAAGGATTAAAATTATTATCGTCGAACAATGTTCATAATATTAGAAACTATATGTTGTTTAACTTTTAACTTTTAAAGATTTAACAATTAAAGATTTTAAACGACTAAAGCAGTATTAAAGTATATGGTTTTGGACGACTAAACTTGATTTCCTTTTTGTCATGATATTTAGAAGTTTAAAATATATAAATAGATGAATGAATAATTTAATTATTAAAATTGTAACAACTAGTTAAATTGGTAATATGTTGTGTAAATATTAAGAAACTTCAATTATTTTTACTTTTTTTCTTATATCTTTTTACTGTGCCAATTCAATCTTCAAAATATTTAGGCAGAAAAAAGTTTGTGTCACAAAATAAAATCTTAACTCATGATTTATTAAGGTATAAAAAATAAATAAGATAATATATTACCTTTCACCAAAAATCTTAGTGGGTTTCTCAAGTTTATAAATAATCAATTTTTTTTATTTTTATTTAATATAAAATTTCATTTTAAACTTAAATTTCAATAAATCTTATTTTAAAGATAATTGATATAAGATATATGTTAAAGTTTGTTAATAGTTTGTTATGATTACTACCTAGAGTAATAATCGTTCTTTTTCTATCTGTCCTTTCTATTAGGATTTCCGCTGACCCTATCTAAGGGATTTTCTTATCATCTTGTTGATATAGTTAACACATAATAAATAATACACAGATAGTTTAGGATTATCTTGCATTTTCAGTACACGTGGGGCCTTTTTTCTCTTCATTTTTACATATAAATCTATGGGTCCCTCATCATGGTATCAAGAACAATCTTCCGCTTCTACTGCAACCTGTTCTGATCATCCTCATCAATCTTGCTGATCTTCTTGGTCACTGACCTAATGGAGATTTCAACTAGCACCAACACTGCACAAAACAATAACTTGGATCAATCTTTAATCCCTCTAGCCCTTTTTACCTTCATCCTGGAGAAAACCCAGGTCTTGTATTAATTTCTCAAACTTTAAATGAGTCTAACTACTCATCATAGAGCAAGAATATGAAGAGAGCCCTACTCTCCAAAAACAAATTGAAATTCATTGGTGGAGGAATAAAAAGACCGCAAAAAAATGACCCTTTGTACAATGCATGGGAAAGATGCAACATGATGGTTCTGTCTTGGATTATCAAGACCCTTTCAACCCATATTGCAGAAAGTGTCATATATGTTGAAGATGCTAAAGAACTCTGGGAAGAACTAAGGGAGAGATTCTCCAAAGGAGACTACTTCAAGATTTTTGACCTATTACCCAATTTTTTACCGATTTAAAAATCCTATGGAAAGAGCTTGAATATCTTAGACCCATTCCTTTATGCACTTGCAATAATCCCTATACTTGTGATTTGTCAAAAATCTCTGTTAAATGCAGAGAAATTGAACATGTTATTTGTTTCCTAAAAGGTCTAAATGACACCTATAACATTGTAAAGACACAAATTCTATTAATGGAGCCTTTGCCTAGCATCGACACGGTTTTTCTCTTGTCATGCAACAAGAAAGACAGATTGTTGGGGTCACTAATCAAATAGAAAGCAAGATCCTGACCACTCAAGGAAGGGGTTATGGAATGCATGGTTAAGGAAGAGGAAGGGGGAGAAACCCCAATTATGACAAACAATGCTCCTATTGCCATAATATGAACCACACCATAGATGAATGCTACTCAAAGCACGAGTTTCCACCATGGTACAAAAAGAATGATAATCAAAACCAAGAAAAGAATGGTCAGAATCAATGGAGTTATGCCAACACCTGTAAAGAAGCCCCTACAACCCCTGCTGAAACCAACACTGCCAAACCTACTGGGATTGAAAAACCCCTCAACACTTTCACCCCTGAACAAATGCAAAAAATTCTGAAAATGCTGGAAAGCAGTGACAATGGAACCATCATTTTTTTTAAGAATTTTACTCTTTTCAATGTGTTATACATTCCAGAATTTTCTTTTAACCTTATATCTGTGCAAAAATTAACTAAAGAATTAAACTGCACTCTAATTTTCTCTCCTAAGTTTTGCCAGATCTAGGACAGTACTACCTTGAAGACGATTGGGCGTGCTGATGTCCACAAGGGATTATACTACCTTAGAAGTTTTCCTATTTTCTGTCAAAACTATATTCTTGGTTCTGTTCTTTCTTATAAATGTGTTGATATTAGTTTGTGGCATTATAGATTAGGCCACCCTGGACTCAAAGCTACTGAAAAAATATGTAAACATTTTTCTTATGTTGATATGCCTACTGAAATTGTTTGTGATATATGTCATTTTTCCAAACAGCATAAATTGCCTTTTTCACAGAGTGTTTCCTATTCTGCCAATTATTTTTGATTTGATACACTTTGACATATGGGGCCCTGTTTCTATACATTTTGCTCATGGGCATATATACTTTTTGACTATAGTTGATGATTATAGCAAACATACTTGGGTTTTTCTAATGAATGCAAAAGGTCAAACTAGAGAATTACTTTAGAACTTTGTTTTAAAAATTAAAACCCAAATTAATAAGACTATCAAGACCATTAGGTCTGATAATAGCCCTGAGTTTGATTTTGTTGCCCTATATAACAGTCATGGTATTGAACATCA